AGCAATGAGGGGGATGCCCATGGTGCTGAGCTGCCTCCAGCTCCAGAGCCACCCTGAGCACTGTCTTCGTCCAGAAGATGCCCAAGATGAAACAAGACAGATGAGGAGAAGGGGAGGGATACAGAGCTCCTTGATGGCGGGAAGAGAGGAATTTCTGTGTCTTGTCACAAGTCCCACATCCCACGGCTGGGAGGAGCAGCCACTGTACTGTATTTTCCCTGATGCAGGTCCCAGAGGCACTCAGATGGACTGTTTACCAGTGAATACAGCAAGATGAGAGGAAACGCTCAGGTTCAGAAATTAATTCAAAATCTTATGGGCCGCAAACGCAGGTAAGAGCTGGGCTTCCTGGGGAATGGGAAGACAGCTTGGGCCATGCAGGCTGCAGGGAGGCAGCTCTCAGCTCCAAGGAAAGTTTGGAAAACTCGAGACAAAGGCAAGCGGGCTGGAGCTTGGTCTCCTGCGAGGCTGTGCCTGGAGCTGCTGTGCAGCAGCGTGACAGCAGGCAGAGCAGGACACAGACCTCACTGAGGCCATTTTTAAGCCTAAAGCAACATTATCTATTGCATACCCATGTCAGACTTAATCCATAGGACACGAAACTCTGCCTCTGCTCACAGCCTGGGATTTTTTGTTTGCATTTTGATTTAGCCTTTTGGGGAAAGTTGTAGGTGATTTACCTACTTCAAATAAAGCACCGGAGAAGCTGTAGATAGGTGGTCTCTGTAACAGACTGATGAAGACTTCTGGGTTTCGTAGCCCCTACCCATGGCTCTGACTGCCACCCTGGGCAGGCTTTAGACATAATCATATGTATGGCCAATATGGGGTCTTTCATCCAGCTGAAGTACGGGGTCACTAGCTCCTGTATTTGAAGCCACGTATATGAGCACATCATCAGTTATAATATGTGGCGTGCTGTGGCACAACTCCCAACTGCTGCTGCCCTTGCCACTGCTAAGTTATGAAGGGACAACATTGCCTGGAGAGGTTTCCCTCAGCCTTGGTCCTTTCTTCAAGGCAGACACCACATCCATTCCTTCCCAACTGTTCATGGTGCTTTGATATTTTCTGGGTCGTGCACCACTAACAAAATCCTGGCAGATGCAGCAGGTTTTTAATTTACAAATGCTTGAAGAAGGTATATCCATGGGCAGAAGGATGTGCCGGTACTGGGTAATGAGGCAGAGTGCAAGTGGATATTAAAACGTGTCCCTTTGCCAGCCAAAAGACGTCTGAGCCTGAATTGAAGAGGATACTTCTTTTTCTTCCTCCACAGCTACAGTGAGAGTTGGCAGGTTAACAGAGCATGGACATAGGGCTGGTCGGTGGGGAGGTGAACCTGCCTTCCAGATAGCAGCGCTGCTTTACGGCCGTGGTGGTTACATGGTTTGGGGGTTTTTTTGAATTATTATTAATTTTCTTTATCTAAACCAGCTCTCCAGGCACAGTCAATGTAGATGTGGAGGGGAGCGAGAAAGAAAACAGCCGCGAAGAGCTCTGCTTTATGTGGTTGTACCAGAGCTTTCTAAACATCAGGTATGTGGGACAGATTTGTCACCTCTATGGCCCTGATCGCTGCAGTATTGAAGCTGACAGAGGACTCTTAGTAACTTGTAAATGCCCAGTTTTCGGGCCCAAGTGCAGAAGTCTGATGTAATGCAGCAGATCAGAAGGGCTCAGCTGATATCCTCAAAAAGGGGAAGGGTGGAAGGTTTATTAAATTGTTTGTTTTTTAAATCCACTTCTGCCTCACTCCCAGCTTGTGAGGCTTTATCTCGAGGACTGTCGTTGCTCAGTTGCAGCCCTCCATTGCACAGTTTTGTACCTCCTGTCACTCTACCAGCAACCACAATCCCAGGGAGGGTTTGCAGAGCCAGAAAAGCAAATGCTTTAGTCTAACTGCAAGGTGGCATGTGGCTGTGTGCAATCTCAATTGATTTCTGTGCCTGCATTCACAGTAATCTCCATTTCTACGTGCCAAGCCCACCTGGCACTCAGTTTTACCTTGCCTAAAGCGAAGATGGCATTGAGATTTACAGCTAAGAATGCCATATAAAAACAAAGCATTAAAAATAATGAAACCCAGGGAAATGAAGTAATATCTTTTTCTATTCAAAGTGTTGTCATCCTGGACTGAAACAATTATTCATCCCATTAGGAAACCTGATCTAACAGTTCAGACAGAAAGCCTTTGGTACCCTGTGTTGATTCAGTTGTTGATTCAAACACACACCTCAGGATGGGCTGTGCCAGCATCTGGATGTTGTCTTTTCCTAGTGACCAACTGCTTTCAACTAGACATCTCCCTGTTAAATCACTGAAATTAGGCGGAATAAGCTGGCCCTCAGTACCTCTTGCCCACATTCCCTGGAACAGATGGGGATGTTAACACCAAGAGGCTTGCCTGTGCATTTATGGGGTGCCTGGCTGCAGGCAACCATGATCTGGGTCCCTCTATCATATATCTGCTCTGTGGAGTCATCTTTGAATTTTACAAGGTGGCCTTGTCACCCTTCCTGCAGTCCATGTCACCAGGAATAACAAGCTATTACTCATGTTTTCCCTCCCAACAGCCGCTCGGACAGCGATGCCAGGGAAGCTGCTGCAATTACCAGCCAGTATGTTTGCCCCGTCTCTGAGCAGCTGGGTGCAGACACGAAGGAAGATACAGACAGTTTCGACTGAAGGTGAAGGGGAAGAAACAGCCAAGGAAACAGCTTTGCATGTATATAGCCTTGAAAGTAAACAAGGAAGCTATTGAATTTGCTTAGGAAAAACTCTTGAGAGCAGCAAATAAAAAAACCCCAGACCTGGAAACCAGCCAAATGCCAATAAAACCTCATAGATTATCAAGAGTGAAATATGTCGGTGTGAAGTGGTGTCAGTAGATGGAGCCTGAATGAAGCGTGTCACTTGTACTTTATGTTAGTCTCTGGCCGCCTGCTCCTGAAGCCAAATAAAGATCTGCTAGCTATGTCTGTGCTTTGGCTGCTCTTTGGGAGCCCGTAAGAAGGGTGGTACCGTTACTAGGTGTTGGACCATTAGGAATGCAGGGTTGGGGGGAGAATTATTTTGCCAGGGAATGTTTGCCAGGCTTCCCTGACATGAGGCACATTGGGACTAGCTGGAGTCCCTGGCCACATCTTCCCTGGCTGGGACTCAGCACTGCCCACAATCCAATTGCACAAAGAGGCCAGCATCAGGGCCTCCACTCGGCACAGGCTCAGCCAGGTGCTGGATTTTATTGCAAAGAAATGCACTGAGAGCTCTGCAGCACAGACACACACTGTCAATATTGTTTCTACTCCATTCTGCCCCTGTATTTACTGGCTCAGCTTTCTCATAGCCACTGAAGACAAAGCTCCACTGAGAGGAATTTGTTCCCACTGTTTAATGAGGTTTACATGTTATCCCTGCACTATGCGGCCTGGCAGATTCCCTCCTCTGAGAGAACAGTGACTCCACCTTTCTTCTAGAGCCAACAGATTATGAAGAGCTGCTCTAAAATAAGGAATCTTCAGCTGCAACCATGTGCCTACCTCAGAACTGCTCAGTCCTCCCTGCACCATCAGTTTTCACCATTTATGATGTACCTGACACCTGCACTGAAGCTAGTCCCTCTCCAATGCTTTTCTAAGCACCCATTCCCTTACTGTGGTGCTGAAATGCTGTTCTCCCAGACCTTGGCATTTTTTTATTTTGGTCCATAGGAAATCTCTGCTAGGAAAGCAACCTCTCAGAGGACTTTTGGAGGGAGTGTTGGCAGTCTGTATTTTGTTAAGCCACTAATGGCCACCTGGGTAAAACGCAGCATGTGAGAGCTTTCTGAAATCAATGGGGATTTAAAAGGAGCAGTGGGAGCAGCTGCCTCCTTTCTCCTCCTACAAAATGGGTGAGTTGAAAATGGTGTTTCTTTGCACAACTGGCCAAATTCCCTGCCATGTGATATTTGGCTTAGAAAAATTTATACAGGCTCTAAAAAAGATCAGGCAAGACAGCAGAAAAGCATGCTATTGAGGCTTCAGGAAGCTGCTGAGATGTAAATAATTGGAGCCTGGATGGAGGTTCTGGGGAGCTTCCCTACAAAGAGCCACTGCTGGCAACTGGAGAAGGGCGCACATGTTGTCCCTACAACATTGCTGGGGGTTGCAGCTGAGCCCAGTTGCTGTCTCTGGATCCACTCTGCTCATCTTGTGAGGGTAAGGTAGGGTGGCTGGGAATAAGATTGTCTCAGAAACATAACTGATTATCCGAGGACTTACACAAGGCCTAACTCCTCCTTTATTATTCAAACAAAAGAGCAGTCAAGACAGGTTTATATTCACTGAAAACTTTGCCTTTTCCAGAAATAAAGACATCTGAGAGCTCACTTTTTAATTTAAAAAAAGAATAGTCCGTATGTGACAGGCTGCAACTAGAAGAGAAAAACTCTAAGTCATGGACTGGAGAGCAAAATGTGTTAAAAAAGGGAATGTGGGCCATGTAGAAAAAGCCTGGCTAAAATAAATAAGATTTAGGGGGTGTAGTAGCATCACTATGCCTTTTTCCAGGAAATGGTCTAACCAAAACAGACCCTATCTCTGACAAATCAAATAAATTTGACCACTTCCTCCCCACTGGGAGAGGCTGGAGTATACAGACAGCTTCCCATGTGTTGGCCCTTGTCCCACTTTGTGCTCATCTCCAGAGGCTTGGCTTTGAATTCTGAAATGCTTCAAGTATATGCTTGGTGCTACAGAGAGTTGAGGCTAGGAAAGACCCAGGAACAAAGTAGAAACAGGAATTATGCATTATCATGTTCTGTGACTGGTTAATATCTTTCAGCGTCATCCAATGAGGCAAAGAGGCAAAGGTTGAACTGCTGCAATCCACTCCAGCCAGCCTACGGTTTTTGCCTTCACGAAGCAGTGAACGCAGAAGACGGCACTGGGAGAAGCAGGGAGAGAAGAGGATCGTCCTAATCAGAAACAGGGATTTTCAACAGCTGGCAGCTCGCCATGGCTGTTTCTCACTGGCTCGTCGTTTCTGTGCCCTTTCTGCTGCCCTTCATAACGCCCGTTTCAGCACAGCAACCAGGTAAGCTCTTGCAGGAGGTCCATGACCATGGGAATAACCCCCACAGCAGCTGGTTGCACCATTATAGGTGGGAGATGTTTACACTCTTACTCCGAGACAGCTCTGTTCAACAACCTTCTCCCCAGTGGTATCCAGAGGGGTCTTTGGTCTCACGTCTCACCCACCTCTGTCACAATGTGAATCCCTGGGCAACTCTGTGTCTCGTTTGTGTGTTTTTCCAGGATGTTCCGTCCGTGATAGCAGACCAAGCGTTTATGAAAATAACCCCCCAGGCTATGTGGTGACCACTGTCCACACAGACCCAGACTTCACTGTAATGATTGAACCAACGTCCCCCGATGCCAGTTTTTTCACCTTACAGGGGTCTGAGCTGCAGCTGAACCGAAGCGTGGACTATGAGGTAAGCCTTTAGCTGGCAGGCTGTAAGGCTGAGATGGATAATGCTGGAATGCAATGAGTATCAGCCTCTGGGATCTTGGACTTCCAGAGGCTTGTAACCTGTTTCTACAGGACCTAGGAAATAACTTTGAAAAATAAACCTATTTCAGTTGGGTTTGAGTTCACTGCTTGGGAGGTCAGCCCTGCCACAGGCAGAGTAGAGGGAGGAGGGGGTGCATGGTATGCCTGCTGTCGCCTTCCTTCAGTGAGTCTGTATGAACTAAAGCAAAGGGAAGTTTTAAAAACAAAATTGTGACAACTGTAGTGTTCAGAGCTCTCCAGGACTCATGTAAAATTATCCCAGCTTGCCTGTAGAAAACACAGCTCTGAGCAGTGAGGTGGTCTTGTGCAAAGCATAAAAGCAGTATAAAAGGTCAGTGTGTTCAGTCAGGTTCCTTCTAAATTATTTTACCTTCCTGGAGGCTTCTGTACAGAGCCACAAGCATCCTTAAGCTGCCTTTTCTCTACTGTAAAACCCCACGTTTATTAGAGCAAAGAACAGCAGAGTTAATGCCCTGCAGGTGACACTGTACTTGCTGCATGGCACAATTCTGTTTATTCAACTTAAAAAGAAATCTCTGAATTCATCTGAAGTGTGAGAAAATGGTGATGAGTTCTACCGCCACGTTACAGCAATCACAGGGAGAGCAGCTGGAAGATGGGTATGCTTTGAGTCCCTCATAAACAAGATCCCAGAACTGACGGATGACTGTAAAGGGAAGAAAGGAGAAGTTAGATATGCCTGAAAACAAGATAAATTCCCACAAGCATTTCT